TAATTTCGTCACGATACGCTACAGGTATTCGTTCATTTGATGGGATTCCCAATTCATTTTGAGCATCTTCTATTTTACGTTCAAATGCTTCAACAGATCCAATGCTAAAATAATAATTCGAACCGGGTAGGGTAGGAGCGTTCGGATACATCTGTCCAGTTGCGTTTGAATGTAAATATACGCGAACTTTTTTTCTATTCACCACAACAAGTTTGTCGACTAAACCTTTATCAAAAAATGCAGTCCGAAATTCTTGCCAAGTAATTTCTCGAGAATTATCAGAACCACCAACAATTTTATACAAGATATATGCCGAAAATAGAAGGGGAAGAATGGTGTTAACGTTTAAATGTAGATTGAATTCTTTGATCGGCGGTTGGTGTTGTTTGGGGGGAGATTTTTGTTGTTCGTCTTGTGGTCGAGAATTATTATTAGGAGTATTATTATCTTTTGGAACTTGCTCTTTTGCAATTTGTTTAAGTCTTTCTACATTTTTATTAAAAAAGTTCTCGAAACCTTTTGGAATTTTAAGTGGTTCTTCATTCTGACTCTTTTTCTCTTTATCTGAAGGAGTTTCTTCGCGACTATCGTTGTTAGACGAAACCATTTTACGTAAATGACGAAGAACGACATTTAGCGCTGGCGGAAGACGAAAAGCGAAGCCCTCCGGAGAAATGGCGAAACCCTGACGTAAGACGAAACCCCTGGCGAAAGGCGAAACCCCTGGCAAAAGATGAAACCCCTGACGAAAGGCGAAACTTCTGGAGAAAGACGATGTCTCGAACTTTAATAAAAGACGAAACCTTGATAAAGGCTGAGCTACATTAGTAAACGAAAGCATTTTATATTGATGTGATGTGTGTATCGTGGTTGTTAGATACAATAGCCATTAGACACAGAAATATGCAAAAGTGTCTTGTTTAATAAAGGACTTTTAAAATCTGATTAGCAACGTATAATCGATTAAAGTACCGATCAGATTGAGATCTTGTCCTGATCACATGTTCGTGCTTCCACCACCACGATTTCTACGTAGAAAATCATCGGCCCTGACATCATAATCAGCCAATCAAAATGATATAAAAGCTGTACGCGTCTAACAGACTAGTTATAACTTTTATCATGAACAACGGGGATAAAAAGGATAAAAAAGAAAAAACGCGCGCAAAGAGAGCACCACTACCGAAGTTGGACGCAGAAAGGTATAAAAGGGCATAATTGTTCTTTCCGATTCTCTGAAAACGGTCAAACATGCTGATTGATTATTCAAACAGATTGCTTGGTGAAGATGGCTTAAGAAAGTTACGGATGAAAAGTCACGAATTGGTTATCAACAAACGTGAAGATCCGGTAGTTATATTTACTCATATGCTTTCATGTTATTGTAACGCGTAAATTAACGTGTTTTTCTTTCAATTGAAGGAGAAAAATCTTAGAAATTTGATGACATTTTATCAAATATGGGCGCATGAACTGTTCCCGAGTATGAAATTTCGTGATGTCATTGCCAAAACGGAAAAGATTTGTAGGGAGAAACGGCTCAATGTAAAGTAACATTATTAATTATAACATTTCAGTTGTGCGATTTTAAGAACAAATGTTTATTATTTAATATTTAGGTGTATTTTCAAACCTTGCGTGCAGAGAAGAAAAATGGACAAAATGACCAGAGTTGTGACCCAAACCTTTTTCTTGAATTATGGCATTACTACATAGTTTGGGTTTGGAAATCGGGATTTCCATTTATTTGGGATAATAAAACCCAAATATATGTCCCGCTTTTAGTCAACAGTATCAAACTCAAAAACCAATCAAATTTGTTAAATCAAGGCTATAAAATTACTAAAACTTCGTTATTTTCATTTTTAGATAAAAGGAATTAAGTGATTTAACGACTAGACAGAATATTCTGGATAAAAGCGATATGTAGTATGTCGAGTATGTACATAACAAGTGAAAAACAATTATAAAAGTGAAAGTTTCTTTAGATTTGAGTAGAAATATCTAATAGTTTTTAGAAAAGTAAAAAGCCTTTAATAAATTCGATGCCATATCAGTTATATGGTCCTCTATCCTCCTTCGTTGAATAACTCAAATGAATTACTCATGATGTGACAAGAATAATGTCCCAATTCGTAATTTCAAACCAAAACTATGAAGCTATTGAAACTCCTCATGAAGCAATTGATAGTTTATGAATATAAAAGCATTTACTTTTATAATTATTTTTGTCACATTAACTGCTTCAAATTTAAGCAAGGTTATGTGAAGCGTAAAGAACAAAAGCCCTTAGCAAGGTCTGTAAAAAAAAAAAAGTCAAAAACAGTCAGTCTCATCGAATAAAAGAGCGTTAAGTTTTTGATCTTATTGTATAACGTAATATATAGAAGCATGCTTCAAGTATAAATACTGTATTAATAAACACACTGCAGAGGTTAGTGAAAAATAATTTTTATATAATTACAGAATTATAGAGATTTAAAAAAAATAACTATTTTTGAATTATTCAATTGCAAAATATGAATTTATGTTTATTTCGTGTAACATTGCTCTTCAATAAATTTAACCGTGTGACTTTTAGTCATCATTATCGTTACAGTTGTTATAAATATATAACATTCGAAGAATCGTTATTGTGTAGTGACCACACCGTCATACTCGTCTGCGACAACATGTTTGCTGAATTGAATATTTAGCATTCCCACTTTTGTTAGTTGAATATTGCAGAGAGTCTAACTGTGCCTTTTTCAGCTCCGCGTC